CCCGTCACTCCCCCCTCCCCATAAAAAGACTCAGGACTGGAGAGATGCTCAGTGGTCAAGAGCATTTGCTGCTTTTGCGGAGGACCCAAGTTTGGTTCCCGCATCCACAGCTCATAAGTGGCTGTAACTCCAACTCCAGGGGACTATGATCTTCTGGACTCTATATGCACCTACGCTCATGTGTGCATTCCCCTACACAGACACATAATTAAGAATAACATAAATCTTTAAAGTTTCCGCTGCTAAGCTGGGTCATTTGTACTTGCATAAATTTTAGAATTATCTTGTTGATCTGTGAAAACAAGACTGGCTGGGATTTTTTTCACTTTTGTTTTTGTTTCGCTGTGGAGATTGAGCCTTTGGTATGTTAAGCTCTGCTCTGCCACTGAGCTATGCTCCCAGCTCCCTGCTGGGATTTTGATTGGATTGTATTGACTATTGGGAGACAAGAATTAGTGTAGATTCTATCTCATTTATGCAGGCATTAAAAGAGATTCTATTAAAGTGTGTGACCTTAGGCCAGATCTTGCTAATGAAAGTTTCAAGGTGAGGTAGATAAGGAAGATGAATGGAAGGGCCAGGAATTGATGGCAAATGGTAGCTAATCCTTAGCTATATAGAGGATAACCAGGTTTATCCAGGCCTGGGGCAAACCGAACAAACCAGGCCCTGGCTGAGGAGCAAGCAGTGTTGTCATGCAAGAATATGAGTTTAGGGCTGGTGAAATGGCTCTGCTAGTCAAAGTACTTGCTGGCTGCACTGCTGATTTAAATCCAGTCCCCTGTCCACATGGGGGAGGGAGATGATCGACTCTTAGAAACTGCTTCCTGTCTTCTGCCTACACGAATGCACAACTATGAATTCAAAATACATGAGCATGTGTGTCACACACACACACACACACATACACACACACGACTTTATTGTTGTTTGCTCTTTCAGTTAGAAGTATGGGTTTTATGCAGTCTCACAAGCTCTAAAAATTGAAATTGAAAACATTGAAGGAGTCAGAAGTCCCTGTAGACTGCCAGTCTGTGACCTCTGCCTTAGTCTAGTCATATTTTAGTCCTTATTTTCAACATCTGTAAGCATGGAGGTGTTGAATTCAGTCTCAGGTTTCTTTCTAGTTTAATGATTCAAAATTTCAAAAGAGGAAAGTGTCAAAATAACGGAAAGGTTTTAGAGGTAGCTGAGAACATCTACAGAAATAGTATCCAGAGAACATGTTGGGGTCTCTCTAGTTCACATTTTTTAAAAATAGTTATCCTTACATCCTTTGTGAAGGGCACGGGATGACTCGGCTAACCACATGAGAGCTCACTCTGGTGTTACACAGTCTTTGAAGGCTCAGGAGATAGGCTCCTCCAGTGGGCAGGCAGTAGCAGTCCTGGGGTCTTTTACTTGCCAGGGCCTTAAGTAGAGTGGAAGGCAGATCCCTAGCTAGATTTATAACTGAGCCTGGGTAAGGGTTGAAGACTTTGTGAGAATTCTCAGGAGGGAGGAGCTTTGGCATGTGTATACCTTTTAAGCTTGTCCCTGGCATGGTGTCTAACACACAGTTAAGTTTTTGTATACACGAAGAAGTGGATTGAGTGGCCCTTTGAAGAAGGGGTGAAAGGCTTTAGACTGAGCTAATCAAGAATCTTGTCTTAGCATTTCAAGGATTGTGAGTCAAATGCTTCTAGTAAGTACATTTAGAATGTTAAATGGAAAGCTGGCTTTATTCTTAAACTTGGCCCATAGGCAGAAATACTTAGTGCGTCTTCAAATTTGACTACGAGATCTGAGTTTTGATTAATATATATAACATATAATTAATATGTCTCCCTATACATCATGTTTGAGAAATTAAGTGCCATGAGTATAAGGAAGTTAGACACTCGAGGGCTTCTATGCCTTTAAAATTTACAAACAAATATGTACTTACTTTTGGACTATGCATATTAAATTAAGGAATATTATCACATCTGGGATTTCTCTTAGAGTGCCAAGGGTAGTGGAGGAGACAGTGATGAACCGGGCTGTATCTCAATTAGTAATCATAGAGCTGTTGGATAGATAGAAGATGGGTTTCATTCCAGTCATTCCTATTTTTTATGTATCTGAAAGCTTTCGTAGCAGGTATTAATAAATCAGAGATTCATAGGCTCCACAATGTATTGAGCCTTCAGACTTTGTAAATAGTATGGTCATTGACTTTTTCTTGTCATAATTTCCTTACTGCCATACTTACAGACTATTTACTTTGCATTAGTTAACTTTTGATAGTTAACCTTAAAATCATGTGTATGTGTGCCTGAGTGAGTTTGTGAGAGTGGTTGTGGGTTTGGAGGCCCTAGAACTGGAATTATAGGATGTTGTGAGCAGCCTGATGTAGGTCTGGGAACCAAACCGGTATCCTCTGTAAGAGCAATACACTTTTTTTTTAACTGCTGAGTCATTCATTACTCCAGCTCCTACACAGTATCAGATATTTTAAATAATAATAAATAGTATGATTATTAAGGGAGAAATGAAAAACAGGAATAGAGCATGTTAGAAATAGGAATGTGGGTTTTGAGTGAAGCAGCTGTGGCTTGGCCTTGGGCGGGCATTGAACTTAACCTGAATCGTGGTTACAGGTCTGTAAATGCAGGGTAATGCAATTTCCCTGATTATTGTGGGGAAACTAAGGGTAAGAGGACCAAGTCTCAGAGGACAACACCTGACCTGCCCTGAGGGTTCAGGTCTGGTATACTTCATTTTATAATTAGAGGACAGAGTAATGGAAGGGTAAAATCTGCCTAAGAGATCTCGCTATGACCTTTCTTCCTTGTGTGAATATAATACACAGTATATTATTTTAGAAGTAGAACTCATGAAGATCACATTGCATCACTGTAGGGCTTATAACAATTATGACAGTTGATTGCCCTCTGAAAATAAATAAGAATGAAACTGTTAAATCTGTAGGGTACTGCTTAATGCCTGTTTGCCTTGGCCTCCTTCATTAACTCTTTTTATTACAAATTCATGTATGTGCACATGTTCACATGGCACAAGCTGTCAAAAGTCAGCTTGTTGGAGTTAGTTCACCCCTTCCACTATGTGATCCTGGGGATCAAACTCAGGTCATCAGGCTTGGTGACAGACTCTCCCACCTATTAAGTGATGTGGTCTCCTTTAGTATATCCATGTCTAGATACTTAATAATCACTCCTTAGGATGAGTTCTAACCAATTCAGGAAAATAACTGTCACATAGCCATTAAAAATTACATACACACACACACACACACACAAACATGCAAGATTGTACTTATGTATCTATGTTGGCTGAGTGTGATGGTACATACTTGCTATCCCAGGACTTGGGAAGGGGGTGTGGCTGGGGGGGGGGTTGGGAGTTCAAGGTCAGCCTCTGCTACATAGCAAGTTTGAGGCTAGCCTGACTTTATGAGACTCCAGCTAAAAAAGATAGAAAGAACAAACAAAAACAAAACAAACAACCTTCCCCAGCAAGTTATATCTATGCTGTGATCCCTCATACATAGTTATGACATGTAAGGATACACGGGAAGTCTATGCAAAGGAAAGGAAAACAATGTTTTTGGTTTTTAGATAGCTCAGTTTTCTTTTAAAAAGGCTCTTATTGTTAAATATTGTGCCTGCACGCCTACACATCATGGTGTAGAAGACATCTGGAATATTCATAAATTCTTTCTAAAACTAATAAAGAAATTAAAAAAAAAAAAACAGAAAGAAGCCAGGCTGTGGTGGTGCGCTCCTGTAACCCCATCACTCGAGAGTTGCACAGTGAGGTTGAGACCATCCTAGGTTGTAACGAGTAGGTTTTTCCCACCGCCACGCCAGCCCCAGTTAACACACAGAAACTCTGTATTTGATATAATGCTGTTGGCCTGTTACTTGTTGGCTAGTTCTGTCTTAAAAATTAACCCATTTCTATTAATCTAAGTATTTCCACCTGGTCTCATCTTACCGGAGAGTGGGCCCAGACCTCTGTTCTCCCCAGTCTCTCCATGCTGGCTTCTCCTTACTACTTCTTCGAATCCTCCTTGTCTCCTAGTCCCGCCTATTTTGCTTTCCTATTGGCCAACAGTGCTTTATTCATTAACCAGTATGAGAAACATATTTACAGAATGACATCTCCCATCATCTCCTCTTTTCTGTCTTAATAAAAAAGAAGGGTTTTAATCTTAACATAGCAAAATATATCACACAACAGTTATCAAGTAAGAATCACAGTTAACAATATTTAGTTCATTAACATTTAGTAAGATTCAAGAAAATATTTCATCATTTATTATATCTTTGTGAGTCTAAAGTCCTATATGTAACTTATCTTTAATCCTAACTAAGGAAAACTATAACCATAACTATCTGTCTTCAACTTCTTCAAAGACCACAGAAGAATAGTATATAAACTCTAGAAATGACAGAGACAACTCACTGCCTGGTCAGTCACTCGAAGTTCTTCTGTAATCTTCCATCTTCAGCCCATAGGCCATAGTGTGTCTGGCAGACTCCTCAGCAAAGCAGGAAACTTTAAACTGTCCACCTGTATTGGCAGTTTGTCAGTCACTTTTCTCTGTGTCATGCAGACTGTCTGGCAGACTCTTCCATGAAGCAGGAACTCTGTAGCAATGTCCATCTTGAATCAGTAGTCACTTTTCTGTGGGTCCTGCATGTCCAGTTTATACAGCATAAAGTCAAACAGTCCAGACAAGAGCAGTATCTTGTCCAAATGGCTAGTCTTGCCATATTGGAAGTAAACTCCATAACGAGTTTCTTCAATGTCCATCTTCCTTTCTGTATCTCAAAACAAAACCCAAATGAAACAGATCCCAGAAAGTTCTGGAAACCTGAAGATTATGGTCACTTAAGTAGAAAAAGAAATCAAAATCAAGACTTTCTTTTTAAAACATTATACAAAATACTGTACTTAGATGCCTCTTTCAGATTTTGCTGAATTGAACACTCTTGAAATCACTCTGTTTCCAGGTTCAGTTTCAGAAGCTTCAGCAACTGCGCCTTACACAGTACCATGGGGGATCCCTGCCTAACGTGAGCCAGCTTCGGAGCAGTACATCAGAGTTCCAGGTACTCACTTGCCAGCTTTTGTGATGTTGAATAGGGTGCAGAGAGACAGAGATAAGCCCTGAGAAGATTAGTGTTTGGAGAAAATAGCCTGGGCCTAAGTGCAGTTCAGTCTTGTGGGAAGCCCCGCAGTGTATTCTTTCATAGTGTTTGTCTGTGAAGGTATGTGACTCACAAGTAGTTAGAGGCTGAGCATCCAGTTGAAATGTGTGATGTGAAGACAGCTTGCCCAGCATGTACCCTGCCCTGGCTTCCATCCTTAGCATCACCAGAAAACAAAACAGAGGACACCCCAAACTAACTTGAACCACGTGTTTAAATTAATTTTCTACTAGCCATATTAAAGGAAAATAAACTGGTGAAATTAAGTTTAGAATAATTTAAACAAAAGATATTTATTTTAAAACATTGTATGCATGTATGATGTGTGTTATGTGTGTAGACATGCCCAGCTGTGCCCAGCATGTGTATGGAGGTCAGAGTACAACTTTTGTTTGTTTACTTTTCAAGACAGGGTCTCTCTGTATTCTGGAACTCACTCTGTAGACCAGGCTGGCCTCAAACTCAGAGATGTACCTGCCTCTGCCTCCTGAACACTGGGATTAAAGGTGTGCACCACCGTGCCCAGCTTCAGAGAACAACTTTCAAGGGTCAGTTGTCTCCTATCATGGGTTCTGGGAATAGAACTCAGGTCATCAGATTTTTTACCTGTCAGTATCTTGCTGGCCCATGCTTAGGGTTTTTATGATAGAGTCTATACAGCCCTGACTGCACTGCAACTTGCTATGTGCACCAGGGTATCTTCAGATTGTTCTGCTTGTCCTGCCTGTATCTCCTAAGTGCTGAGACTACAGGTAACTCACTACATCTGGCTTGTTGTCGGTTTTCTTTCTTCCTTCCTATCTCCTTTCCTTCCTTCCTTCCTTCCTTCCTTCCTTCCTTCCTTCCTTCCTTCCTTTCTTTTTGTTTGTTTGAGACAGGGTCTTATGGGTCTTGAGTAGCTGAGGATGACTTTGAACTTCTCATCTTCCTGCCTCTGTCTCCAAAGTGCTGGGGTGATTGGGGTGCTGGGGTTGGGACCTAGGACTTCTGTAAATGCTGTACCAGGCAAACACTCTGCCAGCTGAGCTGCATTTTCAGCCCTGGTCTTAAGTTCTTCGTTTTCTTACTGTAGCTCTCCAAGTCCTGGGATCATGGGCATGTGCCAGCATTCCCAGTTTCATTTAAATTATTTGAATACTTATTTAACCCAAGATATACCATAATACCATTTCAACATGTAGTCAACATACAAAACATAAGAGAGTTCTCATATAGTTTTGCGCTGAGTCTTGAAGTCTGTTGTATATTTTACAGCACTTCTCAGTCTTGACTACTCATGTCCCCACATTCATGAGACTAATGATGGCCTCACTAGGTAGGTAGGCCAGAGGCATAGATAACAGTCTTGCTGCACTGAGATTAGTACCATCTCAGGCACTAGAGTCATTTACCAGAAGAGCCTTACTTAAAACAATGTGGAATTAGTGTTGCAGACAATGGTGTCTAGTTAAGATCTGAGTTAGCCCTACTTTGATGTCCTACCCACAGAAAAGTTAGAAGCCTGCCATTTTTAATTAAATAAGTTAGGATCTGATGTTAGAGTTAATATATAAACTTTGTGATAAAACATCATGCCTTTGGATACCCTTCTATCTTATTTTGGGGATGTGTACATATGGTGTATATAATGTCTGTGGTATCTGTGTGTTTGTGGATATGTGATCTGTGTGTTGTGTGTGTGCATGTGTGTGTGTGTGTGTGTATGTGTGTGACAGCTCTCATGAATATATGTGGTGTGTGTATGTGTGTGTGCATGCACGTGCCAGCTCTCATGAATGCATGTGCATGTACCTATGAGCTCAGGATTGCTGGAGTCATGCACACACAAAGCCATTCTTAGCTCTTTACATGGGTACTGGGGATTTGAGTTCAGGTTCTCATGCTTGCAGAGCCTGTGTTCTTACCCAGCTGTCTTCCTAGCCCTACCACCCTTCAAGCTAGGTCTTCTTCATTGAGGAAAAGGAGTTCATTGTCTTTATGATATCCAAAATATTGCAGATCATTTTGGATTTCTGACTTTTAAAAATCTCCCCCCCCCCGCCGTGTGTGTGTGTGTGTGTGTGTGTGTGTGTGTGTGTGTGTGTGTGTGTGTGTGTGGTGTATGTTTGTGTGTTAGTTTGGGTTCAAGCGTGTCATGGCACACACGTGGAGGTCAAAGGGCAACCTCAGTTGTTAGTCTTCATCGTCTGTCTTTTTGAGACAGGGTCTCTTTGCTACTGTGTACACCAGGCTAGCTGTCCTGCAAGCTTCTGGAGAATCTTCTGTCTCTTTCTCCTACCTCATGGTAGGAGTAATAGGCTTACAGATGTGTGCTACAATGTACATCTACGTGGATTGATTCTGGGGGGCCAGAACTTGAGTCCTCCTGATTGCATAGCAAATGTTTTGCCCGCTGAGCCATCTCCCTAGCCCAGATACTGGAATTTTAAATGAGGAATGCTCAACCAGTTATGTTTTTTGCTAATATTTGAAAAAAGTAAAGTCTGTGGTACTTCTGATTTTAAGCATTCATATTAAGAATTCTTAATTCAAAGTTAAGATTTTTTTTTTAGTATTGAAATTGTTATTTTAAGCCAGTGGTGATGGTACATGCCTTTAATCCCAATACTCAGGAGGCAGAGGCAGGTGGATCTCTGAGTTTAAGGGCAGCCTGGTCCACAGAGGAAGTTCCAGGATAGCCAGGGCTACACAGAGTAACCTGGTCTTGATAAACTTAAAAAATATATATTATTTTGGGAAGCTGAAGGTATAGCACAGCACTTAAGAGCATTTGCTGTCTTGCAGAGGACCCAAGTTTGGTACTCAGTGCTCCTTCATATAGTTCACAACTGCCTGGAACTCTGTGCCAGAGGATCTGATTTGGTCTTCTGGTCTCTGTAAGCATCTGCAAGCACATGGTGCACATTCATACACTCAGGCTCATGCGTGTGTGCATAAAATAAAAATAAAGCTTTTTAAAGTTATTGTTTGAGAGCTTAGGGAGACAACACAGTAAATTATTGGCTGTGTAAGTATGAACACCAGAGTTTGCATCTCCAGAACCTACAGAAAAGCTGGGCATGTATGGCAGCCACCAGAAATCCAGCACTGAGGAAGCAGAGGCGTCTAGCCTTACCGGTTGTGCTTGGTGTGCTCACAGTTCAGCAAGATGCCCTGCCTCAATGCAGTGGCACAAGATGGAGGCAGCTACCCAGTGTCAGCTTCAGACCTTCGCACGTGCACACACACACACTATACACATGTGTAAGATGTGTGTTTTAATTTGCTGTTTGGTATATAGCCCAGGCTGGCATCAAACTTTCTATCTTCCTGTCTTGGCCTCTAAGAGTTGGAATTACAGGTTACAGGTTTGGTCACCATGCACAGTCAAAATATTGTTTTGGGGTTAGGATGCAGCTCAGTTGGTAGAGAACCTGCCTAGCATACATAAGACCCTGGGATGGGTCTCTAGAACAACATGAGCAGGAGGATTAGAAGTTTAAAGTCATCCCTGACTATATAGCAAGTTTGAGGCCAGCTGGGATTAATGAGCACCTGCCTTGAAAGAAACAAACAAAAAAAATCGGTTGTCTTTTGTGACCTGCATTTTTGACTGTTACAGGCAATTGTTTCGTAGCACAGTCCCAGCTGCCTTTTAATACTTTCTGGTGCTTGAGATTGATCCCAGGGCTTCACGTGTGGTAGGCAAGCATCCACCCACTGCGTGCAGGCTCCCTCACTGCTCTGCTGGGGCTTGTGTTGTAGCTCTGTGATGAGATTCAGATGATGAGTCTGTAGAAAGAGCTCAGAAGTGACAATCCCATTAGGCATATGACTCCAGTCTGTCCTGTGACCTAGGCTGAGCCTTTTACCAACTACAACCAGTTGTTTAGGCTTCCCACTCTGAAGTTGCTTTCTCCTTTGTATTGAACGACTGCTCTGTGCACAGCTACCTTAAGTCTTCACTAACTTTCATTAAACTTTGTATTATAAGCACACATGCATGCACACACACACACACACACACACACAGTATGCTTATTGGTGTATATATTTGTAGTGTATCTCGGTGTGATTTTATGAATTCTCATTTTGTTCAGTGGGTTATGGTCTGTAACTGTTATTTTTATTTTGATGATGCTATAATCACTCATTAGGCTAGTAGGAGCCTTCTTCCAAATAGAAAAGTTTGTAACAGGTTGATGTAGAGTCTTGGGGCATAGGTGTTTTTCTGTTGCCTTCTTTTGAGGTATAACTGGCTGCTTTAGACACACAGCTCTGTGTCATGGAGCCACTGTCACAATCGTTGAGGTCCAGAATGGCTCTCTCACTGCATAGTGGCTGTGTCCCTTGGAAGTCATTCTTCATGTTTTCCCAGAGTGCTCTGGGAGTGCAATCAAAAGGATGTGGTCTTCTGGCTTCTTGTTGCCTTTAGCCTGTCACACTGGAGCCTCATCTGTGTTGTTGCATTTCCTGGTTTCCTGTGGCTGCTGATAGAAAGCACTGCAACATGGTGGCTTCCAACAGCAGAAATTCATTTTCTCGAAGTTCTTAGTCCAGGAGTCTGAAATCACGGAATCAGCAGGGGCGCATTCCCTCTGAATGCTCCCTGGAAAAGTCTTTCCTTATGGCTCCCTGGCTTTTTATTAGTAGCCCTGTCACAACCACCTGTAGCTCTGTTGTCATGTGACCATACTATGTATCTACGATTAATAAATAACCCCTTCTTCCCTCACTTATAAAGACATCAGTCCTTGGATGTAGGGCCATGCTACTCTAGTATGACTACCTTCTGAATTAATGGATGATGTGCAAAGATCCTGGGTTCCCTTTCTTTTTCCCTCCCCCTTCTTTTGAGACAATGTCTTACCTGCAACCCAGGCTAGCCTGGAACTCACTATATAACACAGAGGGGCTTCAGA